AGCCGCGATGGCAGAGTCGGCCGCGGTTCGAGCGAGCAGCTTTGAATGAGTGCGCGACACGCATGTTGTTCACAGCCTTGTTATTGAGAAGAAAATACCTCCTATTCACATAAACGCACAGTGACGGTCAGACATGCAACACGGGGTCCCAGGGAAGGCGAGCAAAAACCTTGGGCTCCCGTTCACACTCGTCTCTGGCCTTTTCTCGGGGCCCTAGTCGGGGCCGCGCCTGCGGCGCGCCGTGGTTTCTTAGATTTTCGCGGAAATCGCCGCCGTGGTTTCTTAATCTGCTTAAAATTTTCAATGCCCGCAACCCACTGTACTGTGCGGTGTCTATTGTAGGCTCGAATGCGCTCGGCGGCCCTGCTGGCGATGCGTGGGCGCGCAGCCGGAAGTGAGGGTCGGGGCGGCCATCTGGATGGCGCGCTGCCCGGCGGGTAGGGGTGTTGGGCGGGGGAGCGCGTCGATTGGGCGGCAGCGCGCACCCACACATGGCCTGGCCAGCGTCGCGCATGAGAGCGAAAACGAGGCCCGGAGAGGCGCTTCAAGCGAGGGTGGCCTCTTCACGGGCCTCGTCTGGCGAGACTGCTATACCTGTCCGAACAGGCCGCGCAGTGAACCAGTCCCACGGGGGGACTTCGGCACGCGCAGTGCAGCGCCGCTCGCGAGCCCGCCAGAGCATGGCCTACTGACCACCACTACCTACCTGCCTATGGGGCTGTTGGCACGGGGGGAGGTGTCTCACGCTCCCGGGACGCCGGAGAGATCGGGTTGGTCTCCCCTCTCTTTCGCCTTCAGTCCTGACCCGACGGGGACGCCACCACCCTCGCCCAGGGATCTACAATGCTGTCTTAAGGTCCGACAGGTTCGGCAGTCAACAGACCCTCTATCCGGCTAGACGCGCTCGCGTTTCTTTTGTGGCGCGCGGCGTTTCGTCGAGGCACTACCCGGAATTGTCGCTTTTCTGACTGGCGAAAGAAATCTGACTGGGACGCCGAATTTGTAACAATCGCTGCGACGGCGCCGCGCCACAGCTTGCCGAGCGCCGGCCACAGGCCTGCCTGCAGCCCAGCCACACCCGCCGCGGCGGCAGCTAGTCGGTTCGGCCTTGACTCGCGCGCGCCGAGATGGGAGCCCAAGTATGTGAGCGCGCGGCGCGTCGACACGCCTCCGCTTTTGTAACAAAGTCTGCTTGGCTTGTGCAGGTGATGCCCAGAGCTGCAGCGGCGACGCCGGCAGCCTCGTCTCGACCTCAGAGGCTGCCGGCGTGACCATAGATCTGTGCTCTATCCGTCGGTGGTTCACCGTACACGCCTGTGTAGGAGCGGCTCTCGCGTCGCTACGCGCCGCCGAAGGCTGTCTATGAGGGCACACCCGAGGAGGCGCGGATCTCAACCTGCTTGCGGCGGTGACCAGGTCACAGGCATCGGCTGTGACACTGGAGAGTCGAGCAGCGGCACTGAGGATGCCTTTCAGGTCATTCCAGCGACCCACGGAGCACGGTCTCAGTGCGCAATCACTCTACTAGATCCCATCCTTGCCGGGCCTCTGCGAATGTAGGTACCGAGTTCATGCGTGCCCAGTTACAGGCTCATACTGCCTGGTCTCCAGCACCTATGATCACCGCGCCAGGCCGCAGTCGACGACTTTTGTGTGCGCTGGCCGCACTCAACCGTTGAGTCGCGGTGTATCAGCCTGACCACACTCGGGACCGCGTAGGCGATGTGGGCGACTCTGGCCGTCCTGCATATGACCGACCATGACCCAGGAGGAGTCTACACGAGACATGTCGTACCTGGCAGGCGCTCTCGCAGCAGCACTATCGCGTGCGGCCGAGTGCGAGCTTCCGTGCCCGGTGCCAGACGCACTCGGCGCCAGACGTCCTCGGGAGCTCGCAGTTTTGCCACGGCAGTTGCGATCCGGGCGATCAGAGAGCGCCGGCAGCTCAGGGGATCTTGTCTGCTCACCTGAGGTCGGGAGGGTAGCAGCGGCGAGGCCATGCGCCAGCGTGAGCCATCCGTATTAACGGTTGTTACAGATTAGTCAGATTTGCCGTGACCGCGTTCCGAGGTCACGATTTCGGCGTTCTCGTGTTGACCACTGTGGGTGTGCCTGGCACTTCTGGATCATGTCTCTCGGTGTCCTAGCACCCCCAGGCGATGGGTTTCACGGCCCCGTACCGCATGGGGCGCAAGGCCTCGCGCCGCGCGTGTGGTTCAAACTTTGTTACAACCCAGTCAGAATAGGGTCAATTCGGGGTAGGTAGGATCCTACTCTCAAGTGTGTGTGTGTACATGTTGACCGAGGAACGTAGGAGCAGACACACGCGCGGCCCTGCGATTCTCGCGGCGACGGCTCTTCTATTCGTCCTCGCTGCGCTTGGACTCCTCGCCAAATCGCCGAGCGCGCAGCACGCCGCGAGAGGCGCAGATGGCTGGTGCGCTGTCGAGATATTAGTGATGCGATGATAGCTTGGTGAGCCGCACTTTGCTGCCGCTATCGCCCTCACGCTGCCGCATCGGCGCCGGGCGGCAGGTTCCCAGGCAAGCACCTCTCGCGGCCTGGCTGGTATCCCGGCAAGGCGGTGGACGAGGATCTGCTCCAGGGTACGTCGCAGGAGCATTCGATGGACGGCTGGAACCCTGGCAAGGCGATGACGGACGAGGCGATGGCGCACATCGACTACGCGAGTACAGAGCCGCTCCACTATGCCTTTTCGCTGCATGACCCGCTGCTGTCCCACGGCCTCAAAAAGGCCGCCACGACTCGCCGCCGCCCCTTGCCTTCTACGCCTCTCCCTGGTTCGGCCGCGGCTGACGCGAGGCCCCGAGGCGTAGGCCGAGTCGACGACCGCGTGCTCCTCGATGGACATGTTCGGCACCGTCCGTGACCGGGGCGGGCCGAGAGGCGTGAGGGCGCCTCTTCACGCCCGCGCTGACCGGAGGTAGGCAACTGCTGGGACGTGCTGGGCAAGGGGGAGGCGGCGGCGCCCGTCGCTTTCGACGAGGCGCAGCCGTCCGACACCAACGTCGCGCTCAGCGGGGACTGCACTCAGGCGCCGCAGACACTCACACGCACGCCACAAGGCGCATCCGCTCTCCGAGGAGCGTGGCGCGGCTGCGGCACCGCGGCAGGGTGGGGTTAGGGTTAGGCAAGGTGGGGTTAGGCAGGGTGGCCGGCAGGGTGGCCTGC